CCAGGGAGCCCCTTCTGACACGGCATGGCAGCAACAGCCTTTGCTTTCCTTTCACCTCCTCCCAGGGTACACTTGTTTGCTGGTACAGGATAAGAAACTAAAGAAGTCAAATAAGCGCTATCAAACAAGGTTATATAAAGCACATGAAAACACACTTCTTATTTCTGGATTGTTCCCTAAGACTGCCTTCAGAAGAATTGTGTCTTCTGTTGGTTCGTTTTACTTCCTTTGTCATGGGAGACAATTTTTAACTTTCAGGAGCTAACGTTCCTAACAAAGACTCTTTGCCTTCTATATGCCCAGCAATTTAAGAGACTACCTCTCATCTCTAGTGACATGGACAGACCCTACTTTTAATACCATCTCTAATGAATTTGCCCAAGAGAGAAACTCCAAACTTTTTCAGTACATGTCTGTCAAACTGAGGGATACATATCCCAGGGATATAAATGACAGAGTGATGGGTTCCATGAAACCAATGAACAAACACTGGAACTATTTAGAAAAAGCACGTTTAGAGTCAAGTAAAACAGTTACATTATAGAACAGAATGCAAACTTTGGTTAATGTCTAGGATAAAGCAGAAAAATTCAAATATATTTGAGCTTACCACAGCTGCCTCCTGTTATAACTGGGCCCCAAAGGGCCTGCCTCTCTTCACTCAACTTCGAAGCTAAGCAGAAAAGTTTGTCAATCATTGCTTAAGTAATTACCTACGTCTCTATCAGGATTCTGTATCTGTTGATAATACAGGCCATGACTCTATTACACATCTATGCAATATGACATAAACTAGGAAAACAAACCAGACATACCCCAAAATGATGGAAATCATATTAATGTTACTTTGTATTTAAATTTGCTTTCAATTCTGAAAACAGTAATTGTGTCCCTACTAATTTAACACTTAGGCTTGGGAACCTGAGAAAAAAGATGTATAGTTAGTTCTTACCGCAGTATCTTAGAAATCTGGTACATGTACACTTTATAGCCACGATCAAAACTTGCAAAAATCAATCTGGCCCACTTAATAAAACAGAATTTTGCATCTGCTGTTTCCTCTCTCTGGTACAGTCTTCCCTCCAGTTCTCTGTATTGCTGATTCCTTTTCACCCTTCAAGTTCATCTCTTCAGAGAGGCTTCCCTAACCATCCCATGTAAAGTACCACTTCTCATTCCCTCTATAAGCATTTTATTATTCTGTTCATTTTTTTCAAAGCAATTACCATAATTTGTACTTATCTGGTAGTTAATTGCTCTTTCATTTATTATTTGTGTGCCTCATCGAATGAGAATGGACCAGAATGTTGTCAGTCTTATTTACTGCCACATCCCCACCTCTGATGCATGTCACTCAATAAATACTTTCGAAAGAAATACTGCCGCATAGCATTTAGAAATAAAGAGGGGGCACTTCTCACAGACTTTCAAAACCCTAAAAAAAAAAACAGACCTCGGAGCTATTATAATCTGGCTTTTCTTACAAACCTAAAAAGAAACTGAGGTGCGGCAACTCTCCCGAGATTCATTTAAGATGGCAAGTTTGAGACACAGCCAGTGATATTCTTCCATCTCCCTGTCTCCCACTCCAGTGAGCTCTCCAAACCAAGCTGTTGTTTCTGCTAGTCTTACTTTATTATTCCTAAAGGATGTATAAACAATGCTGAGCACACGTGAAAACCAAATGTTTGCTTCTTTTCCCATACTGCCTTTTTGTTGTTGTTTTGCCAACTACAGTGGAAAAAAACACACAAGACATTGTATGTCATGCAAAAGAGTCTGACCTCGATGCCATGAGCAGAAGAGATGAGATTCTACTGCACTCCAACCTTATTCCACGGTATGGCCTGGAAGCCTCAACTTTGCTGTTGACATGGCCAGAGTAACTGCCATATCTACTATGTAAAGTGTGGTTTTAAACCAAGAGAAATGTTCTATACACTGACAATCTCACACATCCAAAAAATAAATTAATATAGCCAATATACACTTCAATGAGTATTTGACTGCAGTGTTATTATGCTGAAATTCAGTATCTAGGCCTATTTTCCTCAAAGAGGTCAAGCTTAAATTCAAATGAACAAGAAAAAAAAAATTCCTATGAAAAGAGAAGGATCACATATGCAAGTGTCATAACAGTCACAAGTCATAAATCCCCTGGGGAACTGCTAGACAAGACAAGGTTTACTGATCTGGAATCAGACCTACTTATAGTAAGCTCAATGAGAACAGGTATCTAAGCCATCACATTTAATAAAACATTCCTCCTTATAAGAAACAGGGTGTCTCAAACAACATCTTCCTAAATTCCTGGAATATCGGGATAATTTGTGGTGCCTACATCAAGGTTCCCTTCAGGCAGCTGCACTCTACTGCCCACAGTTCCCAGGCTTGATGATGTGGATCAAAATTCTCAGGATCCATGGACAGATTAACAGGCCATTCTCTACCCCTCCAACACAATGGCTTTTCTGCACCACATCTTTTCTGCGCCAGTGCATTTTTATTACTTTGAAGTTAGCCGTTTCTTTATGTGCATTTGTTCAGCTAGCCTACCGTTCTTGAATGAAGCATGATGGAGGGACAAGACCATACCAGTTTGTTAACATTAAGTCCCTGCACTGGTCTCTATTTTCCAATTAAACTGACCCAGAGTCTTGCTCCTGAACATCACAATACCGATATACAATTCACAGTTCTGCAGACCACGTTTTACTGTGGTCAAGTTTCTTAATCATAAAAAATCAGGTCCCCAATCACTGGTGCCATGTAATCTGCAAATCTGTCTGAATGCATTCATGCCATAGTGCTCTTAACTGTGTACTTTTTAAAAAGAACATAAGATTAGCTTTAAATTAAGCAAGATGATATTACTTCAAATAATAAAAATCCAGAAACGGATAAGTTAATAATTCTATTAGTTCCAAAGTTTAGAATATTTACTCAAGCATGAGCAAATGTTATTAGGATCCAGTGAATAACATTAGAGTATTTTTAAAAACCTGTGCCAAATGTGAATGTAAAACAAAACTGGGAAATAGGGAATTATTTTATCTATATGCAAGAAAAGGAGCCCTATTTAGCTCCCAAAGACTTCTGATAAAAACTAAAGCAGACGTTGATAATTGCAACCCTATGTACCCCAGATTTCTTTAAAAATTCATTTGGTTATATATTCTGAATAATGTATAAAACTCAAATAGGATACACTGTCAACACTGCATGGCTAGAGTAGTCAGACGTATTTTTTAGCAGTCAAAATGAAGCTATATCCTTAATGCTTTGTAATAAAATCAATGATATCCATATCCCTAAACAAGAAGGCTTTTAAAATTAAATTGTCTTATCCTTTATATAAATTAATAAAAATACAGGCTGTAAATAGTATTTAACAATTGTTCTCTCACTCTGAAAAGTTTTTCCACTCACACATTATTTGTACATGAGTTTCAAATGTAGGAATTACTACAATTAAAACAAATTCATGGCCAGGTGCAGTGGCTCACGCCTGTAATCCCAGTACTTTGGGAGGCCAAGGTGGGCAGATCACCTGAGGTCAGGAGTTCAAGACCACCCTGACCAACATGGTGAAACCTCATCTCTACAAAAAATACTGAACTTAGCTGGGTGTGATGGCCCACGCTTGTAATCCCAACTACTCGGGAGGCTGAGGACGGAGAATCACTTGAACTCGGGAGGCAGAGGTTGCAGTGAGACAAGATCGTGCCACTGCACTCCAGTCTGGGCTATAGAGTGAGACTTCATCTCAAAAAAAAAAAAAAAAAAAAATCATATTTCATTTGAGTTACTGAGAAGAGGAATTTAGACAGTAGCATAAAATAAGTTGTCATTTAAATAGACATTTTAAGACAATATTTTTAATGAACACAATGTTGAACTCAGTAAAACATTTTGTGAAAGCAAAATTCTCCTTAACCTTTGCACTAATATGTTATTCTAGAAATGCTGACATTGCTGGACACCTGGCAGATGCTCAAAAAGTGTTAAAAAAATGAACTTCACATAGAATTGGCTCACTGTTAGTTTGTTGAGGCTTTGATCTGAGTAACAAAGTGACAGCATCATGCTATCATGCTACAGGTACATAAAGTTAAATCAAGCCATGTGTGGCTAACAGAGACCAGCTTCTTCAGAGTGCTCATTCTGTTGTTTCAGAAAGGCAACAATGGTCAGATCCACAAAAAATCATAGGAGAAAGTAGACTGGACAGACCTTCTAACACCTGTGTATGACATGTATCAACAAAGGAGTGGGTGTGCTTGGCATTTTCTCAGGTGTGAAAAATAATTTGACTAATATTAATCTGCCTCTCCCCTTGAGCTAACAATTAACGTAGAGGCAAAAGGAAGCACAAGAGAAAATAAGACCAATTTGGGAAATGTACAGTGAGCAGGCTAACTGTTATTGTCGAAAAACTGCATTGTGAAATGTCTACCTTTTCCCATCGCTTACACGCTACACATCACTTACCCAAATCAGGCTGTCAAGGTTATAGATTCTGCCTCAGAATTGTTTGGTAAATCTTTATGTGAAATCTTTTTCAATAATAAATTCATCAAAATAAATTAACAAGAGACTTTTCTTTTCTTGGTTTTCTGACATGGTGAATTTCAGAATCGACAATGAATTAAATATTTTAATGAAAATAGGGAAACACAAATTTATTCCTAAACCAGTACATGAGGTACTCATATGCTTTATAAAAATTAGTATGAAAATTAATGCAACACATGTAAGCAAAGCATTTAATTTTTTACAATGATTATTTTGAAAACAGTTCAAATAGTTTTTAAATTAATATGGAAGGTCAATAATACATATATAATTTTATATATGGATATTTATACATAAATAATATATGGATATACATAAATATCCATATATTAAAAAATATGTTATACATACACACACACAATAATGACAAATAAATAAGACCATTGTATAGTTTTTAAATTCATATAAGTATAAAATCTATATACCTGAGCCGACCTCTTTTTCCTCCTCTTCAATGTTGTTTTTGATGCTATCATATTCCTCATCAATGGTCTGGTTACCACGCATCTGAGATAAAATTCTGCGGGCCTTCTGAGTCTGTCCTTTCTGAATAAGCCATCGAGGGCTCTCAGGCAAAAAGAGAAAGCCAAAAAACTGTATAACTGCCGGAATTGCTGCAAGTCCCAACATGTACCTGCAAGAAAAAAAAATCCACATTTACTGTAAAATTTGCTCTTACCATCATGTGCTCACCACATACTTTTGTGTTGTGTTGATAACAATAATATTTAATGCAAAGTTAGCCAGAATTATTTGTGTGTTTGTGTGTCTGTCTGTCACTAGGAAAAAGGGATATTTTTGTGCTGTATTGAAATTTTAAAAATGATAAAAATCTAATTATTTCTCTATCTTTCCCACAAATTACATTGAAAAAGAATGAGCAAAAGTTACAATAATTACGTATACACATTCTAAACCAAACATATTAAGCAAAACATCATAATCACCATTCCTATGTAAGGTTAACATATGTAATTTTGTATTTTACAATATAAAATGGGGCTATGATAAAACTTTCTGATATCTGCTTAAAAGGCACACTTTTCATTAAAATAAGTGCCCAAACGTGTTTCTTTATAGTTATTTCTGACTTGTGAATCATTACTTATAATTTTGTTTCTACAATTTTCCTATTTCATTTTGCCATCAAGCATCACGTTCATCATCATCGAGGAATGGGTGCCCACAGGAAAAAAAAAAAAGATGGAGTCAATAATCCTAATAAAAATGATGACAAATATAAAAATCTGCTCATATTGTTGTAAGTTATCTGTTATCTCTTTAAATATCTATTCTTAATGGTTGGCAAAATTCTAAATAGCAAATAACAATATCATTTTAACTCCATCCAAGAAATAACAAAAATAGTAATGAGTTTATCAACATCAAAGACCTCTCCAAATTATAATCACCAGACTGATTTCCTAACATCTCTAAAGCCTCCATCTTTTTGAACCAAAGGGGTTGAATTAGATAAACTTTAAGCTGTCTTTCAAGTGGAAACTCCATGCATCTAGGATACCGGGATGTTTTCTGTTAATCCAACTTCTCTAGGTATGTTCCAGGGTAGATTCCTAACAATAGAGCTCAGCAGGCCAATTCTACTTCAAAACAAACCACACTGATATGCATAAGTCATGGAAGTCACCTGGCTCAATATATTTTTCAAAGCTATTCTACCTTTTAAGCTGTGCTAAACTAAAAGTATAGTAGTCTTAAAGGTTCCAGAGATAAATTTCACAAAATAAGTCTGCTATTTTCCATGCAATTTCATTTTAATTAAAAAACCAGTAGAAGAAAAAATATGATCATTACATGGGTAGTAAGAATACCTTCTACTACAAACTACAAAAACTAAAACTACACATGGAAACAGAAAAATTAACCAGGATTTGGAAAGTAAATAAACTATTTATGAATGAATGACTAAATGAATCAGTTGGCCTGCAGTGTTAAATCTTATTAGAGGTGTTTTATGCTTTAGGCCATGGATTGTGATAATTACACCAATATTTAGTCACTCCTGCCTCTGCTCATCCACAGAGCGCACAGTGTTTTAGCCTTAATTTATGTCTCTGTATCTTGTATAATAATACATTATTTACCCATCCCAATCAATTGCTTAATATTATTTAACTTTGTATTCAGCATAGCATCTAGTCATCTTGCACACAGTAGGCACTGAGTACATATTTTATGAAATAATACATAAGCACCTGTATATCTAAACTTTCTACATTAACTAACCAGAAAATAACTGTGCTTTGGATTTACATGACAATATCTTAGGGGACAACTCTTCTGGGTCATTTAGCTCTGCAAATTTACTTGCACAGTAATTCCTTCCAACCAAACCATTCATTATTATAGACATAACTGGACCTTCTCTTCTAGTCCTCGGATGAGAGCTACAGAGATCAGCTCACAAAAATATGTACTGCTGGCCTCTTCTCCTTAAGATATTAACTTGCATAATATAATCTGTTATTTAAATGTGTGTTTTATTGCTGTAAATCAATAAAACTTCCATCTGAGCTGTGTCAAAGAAATGTTTATACTATATTGATAATTATTTAAAAGTGATTTTTTAAGGTAGACCCTAAATATACTGGATTAGGAAATAAATTTTAAAAGTCCTAAGCCTTTATGTTTCATTTATCTACACCTATCTTTCTATTAAGATAGAAAAGTGGCAGATAATGCTTCAAAAAGCACTGAAATGAATGCAGAAACTGAATCATTTTCAGGTCCAAGATGCTCACATAATATTTTGCACTCTACTACTTGCTATTAAATCCCAGGATGCAGTATTTTTACAAGTTTTTCTAAAACAGGAAAAAGAGAAAGGAAGAGAAGAGAAAAGAGAAGACAAAAAGAAAAGGAAAATACAGACATATATCAGCCTATGTTTCTTAAGTGAGCTACAGAAGACAGAATAGGCCTTCCCACCTTTTGAAATCTGTACAAGAGTCTGGATCTGAAATGTACAATTTTGTTGGCCTATACTAACGTGAGGAAAAGGAATTTGTACCCTGCTGCCAATCTTTAAGAATACTAAAGCTTCTTTCCAGAGATGAGTCAAGAAAAAAATGTTTTATACATTTGTATCCTAATACTTCTAAAAGTAAAATGGAAAGCTTATTTTGTTTTAATTAACTTTCATGATGAAAATATTTTGATATGAATAATTTTCATGGCTTTGAAGAAAGGCAGTACACAAGATCAGAGCTTATATGACAGAGGACACAGGAACAGATATAGGTGTCACTTCAGCTCTGGGCATACAAACCACGAGAACCTGGTCAAGTTACTTACTATTTTATTTATTTATTTATTGAGATGGAGTCTCACTCTGTCTCCCAGCCCGGGGTGTAGTGGCGCAGTCTCGACTCACTGCAACCTCCGCCTCCTGGGTTCAAGCAATTCTCCTACCTCAGCCTCCTGAGTAGCTGGGACTGCAGGTGCATGCCACCACGCCTGGCTAATTTTTGTATTTTTAGTAGAAACGGGGTTTCAAAATATTGGCCAGGCTGGTCTCGAACTCCTGATCTCGTGATCCACCCGCCCAAAGTGCTGGGATTACAGGTATGCGCCACTGCATTCGGCCAAGTTACTTAACGTTTTAACACACAGGTAATAGTGTCTATTTCATAAGACTGCTGGGGGAATTAAGTGAAATCATTGTAACGTGTTTGTTCTGGCTGTATCACCCAACTAAATTTTCAGCAGGTAGAACTAACCAATTTCTCTCTTAAGAAAAACATTCCTCTAACGATGTGCAGACTGGAGAACAGGAAAGATAAATAAGAGGCTGTGTTGCTGTGGTACTTATAAAAATTTCAATATGAGACAAAAAGAGAAGGATCTCTATAAATCAAACTAAGGCAGTAGTAGGACTACCAGTCCTCTAAATCAAAGGAAAGCAGGAATTAGATGAATGACAGAGTATTGTGATATACTGGGGCAGGCAGTCCCCCAGAAAAGCAAGTAGTCTCCTATTGATACAAGAGATCTCATTATTCTAAATTAAGTCAGGTACTCTAAACCTGGTTTCACATTAGAATCACCTAGGAGGCTGGTGAAACCCACCAGTTTCCAGGCCCCACCCTCCCCCAGGGATTTTGATTAATTGATCTGGGCTCTAGGCCCAGGGAGTTCTGTTTTATTAAAAGCTCTCCAGGTGGTGCTAACGTGCAGTTGTGGCTGAGAACCAAGGATCTAAATGTTTTTAAAACCCAGGGTAAACATGAACAACAAGCACCCAAGGTCCACACCTTACGGCAAAAGCCATTTATCTTCTGCGGGCAAGTAAGCGCACCAGACGAACACACAGTCGAGCAGACATGCCAAGCTCTCATGAGTTTTAAAAATCTTTAGTATGTTCTTTACTATCATGATCACTCATCTAAGGATTTAAAATTTTCTAAACTTACAGTTACGAAATGAACTATTTTCTGGCACAGCTAGCAGTACCAGCACCTTCCTACCAAAGCAGGCCATTTAAAGGGAGAGGAACGCTTCCAAATGACAATGTTAGGCCAGCTATCAATAAAGAACAATCCCACCAATTTCACCTCAGGTTAAGCCTTCTCAATTCCAGAGACTGAAGCTGTGTGAATCATGGATCCTGCATTCCTGGGGCCAGACCTCCTGCTATGGCTCAGCTGAGCAAGTGTGCTGTCTCTTCCATCAGATGGCTAGGGGCCTCACAACAAACCAAACAGCTCCTTCTCTGAACTGCACATTCGCTCTCATTCCTGTTTTACAGCAATCCTGCTGCTCTCACCTATGTAACTCAAGACAATAATCCTCTAACATCTGCTTCCTTAAGTCACAGACTTTTGCACTTCGTGATCATTGACCTCCTCTCTGAACTGACAACATGAGTTAGCATGTTATCTACTCTAGCAGTCCAGAGGTGTGATGATTATGTTCCAAATATATGAAAATCTAGTTGAATGAACAATCTCAGCATAGACATGTAATTGTTTAGTAACAACAATACTAATAGCAATAGTAATAGCTAATGTGTAGCACCAGTTACCGTGTGCCAAGCACTGTTCAGAACAGTTAAGAAACATTAACTCCTATGATTTCACAACAACCCTATGAGGCGAGTGCCATTATTATCCCCACTTTATAGACAAAGAAATGAGGCACAAAGAAGATACATGGTTAGTATGTAACAGAACTACAGTTAAAATCCAGGAAGTCTGGCTCATACAATAAATGTTTACTATAAGTCAAGCTATATTAAATGTTCAGTAATTACTTGATAATTAATTTGGTAGAACAAACAAAAAAAAGTGCATTAATTTACCTTAGCTTCATGTTTAAAGAATTCAGAGGTTCCCTTTGGAAGTATTATTCCCTCACCTCTGTTAAATGCAGTAAAACATTGCAGAAATAACAAAGCAAAAGCAAAGCTGGCTGGCTGGGAGCTGTCACTCCTAATTGTGCCCAGCACAGGTGCCCAACACAGTACCACCCACTAGGCTGGGTAACTGCAAGCTGGATTTAAATAACACAGAACTGCTAGTAGGAAATGGAATATCCTGTGATTCTCTCAACACCTATCCTTAGTAAATCAGAACTCCCTAAGAGCATTACTGTTAAAATAGCTGACTAGTTAAA